GGGTGAGGATATTTCGGTGGCAGTTTCAAGCCAGCGGGTGAGGATATTTCGGTGGCAGTTTAAGCCAGCGGGTGAGGATATTTCGGTGGCGGCTTTCAGCCAGCGGGTGAGGATATTTCGGTGGCAGTTTCATTTCCGTGGGTGAAGATATTTCGGTGGCAGTTTTAAGCCAGCAGGTGAGGAAATTTCGGTGGCAGTTTTAAGCCAGCGGGTGAGGATATTTCGGTGGCAGTTTTCAGCCAGCGGGTGAGGATATTTCGGTGGTAGTTTTAAGCCAGCGGGTGAGGATATTTCGGTGGCAGTTTTAAGCCAGCGGGTGAGGATATGTCGGTGGCAGTTTTAAGCCAGCGGGTGAGGATGTTTCTGTGGCTGCATTGATCCAGCGGGCGAGGATATTTCGGTGGCAGTTTTAAGCCTGCGGGTGAGGATATGTCGGTGGTAGTTTTAATTCCGTGGGTGAGGATATTTCGATGGCAGTTTTAAGTCCGCGGAGGAGGAGGAGAAGGAGGAGGGAGGAACAGAGAATATCTGTGCTCGGCGCGGGCATCCAGCCGCCACGCGATGCGTCATTCGCTTGGTTGGCCCAGCCGACGGCTACGCATCCAGCGCGGTGCTGCGCCCGTATATATGCTCGCCCCTTGGCGTGGGGCTGGCGGGGGGCCAAGGGGCGAGCTGTCCGGTGATTTCACCAACTTTGTGTATTGTGTTGGCAATTTTTTTCGTCCGAAATCCCCCTGTAGGAGGACAGGCCCCTAAACCACTCCTGCGTCGGGCCTGTCCCTCCACTCCGTAGCCATTTTGGCTCAAGCCATTCTGCCTCAAGCTTTGGCTCAAAAGCTCCCCGCGGCTCGAGGTGGGGGCTCGGTCCGCCCCCGCGCGCGCACTGCGCTTCGCCGCGGGCACCTCGGGCACGAGTGCGGTCGCTCGTCCCGCGGGCACTCCGGGCGGCAGCCCTGGAGCCCCGCGGCGCCGCCTGGGCCCGCGGGGCTCGCGCCCAGGACGCCGAGATGGCCGTTGCCGGTCACAGGGAAAGACTCCTGCTACGCTGCGCCCAGCACGGCGCGCCCTCGCCGGACAGCGAGCTGGGGGAGCCAGCCGCCCCCCTGCTGCGGGTGCAAGAGACGAGCGGGGCGGCGAGCAGGAGTAAGGAGGACGAGCAGGAGTACGCGAAGATGAGGATCGCGAGTGCGGAGAGCGGGCTGCAGTTGTGCAGCATGGCCGAGGAGGTCATCAGGGACGACTGGCTGGTGGAGTGCCACCCCCTGCCCGGGAACATCTACCGCATCGCTGCCTTCGGGAGGCACACAAGGAGCCTCGGGCAGTGCTCGCACCGGGGTTTCAAGGCCGTGGTGCGGCTCTTCGGCTTCGCGGCGGTGGTGCTGCTCCAGTGGGTGGCGCCCCCGGCTATTTTCATGAGCATGTGGCTCGGATGGGGAGTAAGAAGTGAAGACCATATTGCGTGGGATAGGTGGAAAGATCATGGCTACGAGCCCACTACAAGCGACTGGAACCGCATCGCAACTACAAAATCTCTCGCAGTTAGCCTCGTCTTCCTGTTTTGCATCAATGCCTTGTACACGGTTCTGTAGGAGATGGACACTTGGCGAAAAAACGACAACATATTCCGATATTTGAATCGTATAAACCCATCGGTTGACCTTCACGGCGAGCGGTGGCTCTATTTCGGGGCATTCACCAATCTTTGGGTCATCTTTTCGTGCGTCATCGACTCCTACTTCGTAATCGGCGGCAGCCTCAGCCCCAAGGAAATCATCATGGACTCCTTGGGCCTGCTCTTCCTTTTCAATCTGGACGACACTTCTGGTGATGTGCAGTTCGTCAGCGGAGACGCTTGGCCGGGCGATCGCTTGGTCTGGGTCCATGACAAGGTTGTGGTTGTAGACTACCAGCCCGCCGCGGGCATGGTAGAGTGGGATCACGCGCTTCGCTCAGGAAACTTGGCGCTTGGGGCCTGGCATTGTGTGAAATGGTTCGCTGGGACCTGCATGGCCTGGGCAATCAAAGCCCTGCAGTACCTGACCGCGGTGTATTGCGCAGTGATGGTCGTAGTGTTGCCGGTGCTGGTCGCCGTCGCGCCGTTCTTGGAGCTCACTCCGCAGGCGGAGATGGACATTCCGTCGACTTTGGCGACCGCGGCGCCGACGTATTCGACGACGCCTGCTGAGTGAGGAAGAAAGGAGCGGTGTAGTCTCCATCTTGGGCGAAACTGCGCCCGATGCCAGCGATGGTCCAAGTAGGAATGATGGGTTCGAGAGTGGCAGCACTTTTCAATGATGCTTATGCCGCGCATAGTGTTGATTTGCGGATCCCCCCTGTGCGCTGAGTGCTAAGATTTGTTACACAGACGCGATGCTTACAGGATGATTACAAAGCCCTGGAGACGTGAGTTGGGAGTGCGCTACGCCTGTGCAGACCACTCCCACAAAGATACCTCACGAAATTCGACAGGCGTGCCGTGAGACGCGTGTCAAAGGTCCACTCGCGATTGGTTTTCGCAAGTCTTCCTGGAACAACGTGAGTGCACGGCCTTCCGCAGGCACCCGCTCTGGATTCGTAGGGAGGGCGCATGCGTGCTCGCGAGGTCGCAGCGCCCAGGGAAGCGGCTCTCCTGGCCGCCGGCGCAGCAGCTCCTCGCCCAGCCATCCCTCCTCTGTTCTTTCCTCCTCCTCCTCCTCTCCTCCTCCTCCTCCTCCTCCTCTTCCTCCTCCTCCTCTTCCTCCCCCTCCTCCCCCTCTTCCCCCTCCTCCCCCTCCTATGTCTGCACACCGCGAGGAGCAGGTCTGCACATAAGCTCAGTGCTCTTCCCTCTTGCCGCCGATCCAGCGCCGCCGGGCCGCTCCACGCTGCCGCGTTTGGCGGCGCCCTGCCGCCTCGGCGGCGACGGGCCGCCTCGCCGCCGGGCCGCGTCGCGGCAGACCTTGCGTGGTCGACGGCGGAGCCGTGGCCTCTCTCGCGTCCGCCGCGGCGCGGCGGCGTCCGGGGCCTCGTGCACGGCGGCGGAGGACAGTGGCGGAAGCTGGGCGAGGGTCGGCATTAAGTCGGGCATGTTTTCTACGGGAGGCATCTGCAAAAAAAAGGGCCTGTCCCTCCACAGGAGGAGTATTCAGAAGTAGTCAAAGAATAGTCTGGGGGCGATTGCTTTTGTTTCACCACTGTGGTGTATTATGTTGACAACTTGCTTCGTCCAAAATCCCCCTGTAGGAGGACAGGCCCGACTTACAGCCATTCCCGAGGGCCCTCCCCTTGTCCATCGTGGGCAGTCTTCCCAGCCGCGTCACGCTATGGCCACAAGGACCATCCACAGGCGGCTCCCCATTGGAGCACTTGTCGGACGCAGCGGTGGCGACAGCGCACCGCGTCCCTCGCCAGAGCAGGGGCGCGCTGCGAACCAACGGGGGCACACGTGAAGATCCTCGAGCTCAAACCTTCTGCGCGCAGCCGCAGGCCTTGAGAGCCCGGGCCCGGAGGTGTGGACTCCTCCCTCCTCCCTCCTCCCCATCTTTCGTGGGGCGTCGCGTAATGGGGTGGCGAGATTGGGGGGGGGGGGGCAGCGAGGGCTGCAGGAAAGGAGCCCCCGAGGGGCCCTTTCGGGCCCCCAAAGGGGCCTTTGCGGGCCCGAGAAGAGTGCACGTCTCTTCCCCCCTCAGTCCTCGCCCCTCCCTTGAGCGACGCCCAGCTTCGGTCGTGACTCCCGGCCACGCAGGTTGGGATGGGTAGATCCTGCGAGGAGGATCCCGCCCAGTCCACTCCGCCCGCTCTGTGCACCGAGGCCCGCCGAGGCCCCCAGTGTCCCCGGTGGTCCCTTTTCCCCCGCCACTCGGGAGCCTTGAGACGGGGGTCAATGCAAAAGGGGGTCAGCCAGAGCGCCGGATCTTGCAGGATCCTGCAGGGCCAGGGTCGCATTGACCCGGGCTTGGGTGCAGGATCCTGCAGGATCTTGCAGGATCCTTCGCATTGACCCGGGCTTGGATGCAGGATCTTGCAGGATCTTGCAAGGTCTGACTGACCAGGGTCTGGACTGACCCGGGTCAGACGATCCCCGAGCCGCGCCGCCCTGCCCACCGCTGCCGCCAGGCCCTGAGTGTCCCTCCAGGTCTCCTGCGGTCGGGCCGGGGTGTAACATCGAGGTCGGTTTGGGGAGGGTGCCCTGATGTTCGTCGTATGTGTGTTGGATGTCCTTGTGCATCCTGGGGGGAGTCCCTCGAGCGATCCCAGGGTCTGGGGTGTTTTGGCCGGCGGAGGGTCTCATGTCCTTGAAGGATGTGTTTCGGGCCTAGCTCCACCTGTAGATCGAGTTGGAGTAGATGGGGTCGGAGGATCGCGACGCATCGCTGATTCATCGGCGATGCGGCTCGATGTGGAGTCCGGTTCTCTCCACGCCGGCGGCACTTCCGTGCCGCCGACGTCGTCGATGCATCGGCGATGTATCGGCGATGCGGCGAGATCACCCGACCTCATTTGCTCGGACCCTAGTCCCTCCCTGCTGTCCCACATCGCGTCCTCGACACATGATCAGATATTGGGCGCGAATAAGATACAACGCCGCAACTCACCACAACATAGCATCAGCACACCTCACCGACACACGGACATATAATACAGATCGAGTAAAGGTACGCACATTTACTATATAGTACAAAGTACGCCGAACATGACAGTACTACTTGCATATCGAAGCCGCCTACTGCGAATCGTTGGTGCGTCAAACACCTACAACGGAACCTATCACAGCATAGCAACCTCACACCTCACCAACACACGGACATACCATACGCAACGAGAAAAGGTCTGCACAGCTACATGCAGTACCAAGCACGCCGAGCACGATAGTAACATTTGCATATCGGAGCCAGCTACGGTGAATCGCTTGTCCGAGGAGTGGGGAGGGGAGGAGAAGGAGGAGGAGCAGGAGGAGCAGGAGGAGCAGGAGCGCGGGCAGCCCTCCCCCCATCGCCCCCCGCGCGGCGCACGTACTCCAGGAGTGGTTCGAGACTTGCACGTTCCTGATGCAGGCCCCCTCCTCCTCCTCCTCCTCCTCCTCCTCCTCCTCCTCCTCCTCCTCCTCCTCCTCCTCCTCCTCATCGGCCACCTACCCTTTTTCCCTCTCTCGTCTCTCCTTCTCCTTCTCCCCTTCTCGTCACTCCTCCTTTTCCACCTCTCCTCTTCTCTCCTCCTGCCACTCCCCTCGTCTCTCCTCATCATCCTCCTCTCCTCGTTCTCCTCCAATCCGTGTCGCTCCTCCTTCCCCTGGTTTCTGGTTCCTAGTGGCATGAAGATCTAGAGGAAGGCCCGGTCGGCCCTGGGGTATTCATCAAACTAACAGCCAGGACAATTCTGGAGGGTTTGTCAAGCTAAGTTTATTGTTCAGCGTTCGTGAATAGCACGATCACCAGGCGCCAGCCGCGTGCGACCGCCAGGCGCTGCGGTCATGGCCGGCTGCAGCCTCACAAGCCCAGCGATTGTCGTGCGTTCATCCAGGGCTCCAGATCTGCGGCCATCTGCGAACCCCACCCCATGTGGATCCGATCGACGCTGGGATATCTCGATGGAAGAAACATGATGACCATGACCAAAAGGTCAGGGGGTTCTGGCCGACGTCGGTCTTGGCCATGGCCCATGCGAGCTGTCGCCGATGCGCGAGGACGATCCACGAATTAACGGTGACCATGTTGCGCGACGACCAAGATCGGCACCGACGTTTCCGCGTTCAGTCCTGGACATGGTCACCGTCTTCTTCCCCTCCATTATCGGACACTCCCGCCGGGGTTCGCTTGGCTGTATGCATCCTCCGAATTCTGAGCCCCAGTCCGTTTTGCAGAAGTCTGAGCTGCATGGGCAAGCTGCACACGTGGTTGCCCGTCGGAGGAAGGAGGGGCGGTACCGCCTTCGCCTTGCGGGCCACCTCCAGCGTGGAGGCCCGCGGTGCCTCCCCGAGGTGCATGGTTACTCGGAGGTGTCTCGAGCGGGGCACCTTGCCGAGCAGAGGGGTTCTCATGACGCTCGTGGTGGTCTCGATTTCTTTCCTTGTTAGGTTGTGAAGGACGGCGACGTCATCACCAATTGGCGCCAGAAGGACATGCGGGCGCTGAAGGACAATTGGGAGTCCTGGAACATCAAGTACCCTCGCCAGCAGCACCGGGCGATAGCGCCAGGGACCGCCTTGGGGTGGGTGGGTGGAGGATCTAACAAGAAGTTCAATGCGCGTCGCTTAACCCCACCAGCCAATTAGAAGCGAGGCCCAGGCGAGTTGCCCTGATCAGGGGTGAGGAGGAGCATGCAGCGAAGTTAAGGGCTTGGAAAGCCGTCAGTTCCAGAGAGGGGGAGGACTGATGAGGAATCGAAGGAGGAGGAGGGGGAGGAGGATGAGGAGGGAGGAGGCAAGAGGAGGAATAGGCGGATAAAGGGTAGGAGGAGGAGAAGAGCGAGCAGAACGGCCAGAGGCTTCTAGGATGCCTCTCGAAGTCTCTTGGGATGTCGCTTCATAGCTACTTAGAGGCCTCTTGGGGGTTTCTTTGCTGTCCCGTGCTTCTCTCGGAGCGTCTTGGGTGCTTTAGGGGAGCTTCTTGGGGCCTCTTGCAGGTCTCTTAGGAGCCTATTGGGGGCCTCTTTGGGGTGCCCCTTTGGGCCTCCCTGGCGCCTTTTGGGGGACATGTCGGGACCATTTAGGAGGAGTTCGATCACAGGGGCAGCCGTTATCGTTCGAAGGAGGACGACGGGTTGGACGAGGACGAGAAAGAGAAGGATGCTGAGGGGGATGAATAAGCGAGGATGGGGGATTATAATGGTGGTGATGATGATGACGAAGCTGATGCTGCTGATGATGATGGTGGTGGTGGTGATGGTGGTGGTCATAATGATTGTGACGATGGGGAGGAGGGAGGAGGGAGGAGAGAGACGGAGGAGACAGCGGCGGACGAGGAGGAGGAGAAGGAGGAGGAGAAGGAGTAGGAGGAGAAGGAGGAGGATGAGGAGCAGGAGTGCGAACAGAACTTACAGATGCCTTTCGGGACTCTTGGATGCCTCTTTGGGGCGTCTTGCTGGTCTCTGAGGGGTCCCATGGGCGCCTTGGGGCGTCTTGGGTGCCTCGTTCTGCCAGGGTGGATGCGCACTTCCGCCAGCCCGTCCAGAAGCCACGCCCGGCCTCGATGACGTGATGAGGCATGCGTAAGAGCCCAGAGGAGGGCAGTCGGTATTGTTCGAAGGAGGAGTAGACACAGGAAGAGAAGGAGGAGGCGGAGGGACGAGGGAGGGAGGGAGATGTTGAGGGGAAAGCGGAGTATGATGATGGTGTTGATGTTGTTGTTATTGCGGTTGTGGATGATGATGTTGTTGATAATGATGATGATGATGATGATGATGATGATGATGATGCTGATGATGATGATGATGATGATGATGATGATGATGCATATTATGATGATGTTGTCGATGTTTATGATGATGACGATCTTGGTATTGGCGCTGATGGCGATGATGATGATGCTGGTTATGATGATGATGATGATTATGCTGGTGATGGACGTGAGGATGATACTGAGGAGGATAGTCATGATGATGAGGATGGCGATGACGATGGAGACGATGAGGGCGATGATGGCGATGATGATGATGGTGATGATTATGCGTATTAGTATGCTGCTGATGCTGATCATGTTGACGTTGATGATGCCTGTACTGGTGATGGTGATGATGTTGCTGAGGATGATGGTGGCGATGCTAGGTGTGATGATGGTGATGATGATGATGGTGATGGTGATGATGATGCTGATGATGATGATGATACCGATTATGATGATGATTGCGGTCATGCTGATGCTGATGTTCGCGCTGCTGTTGTTGATCATGATGATGTTGATGATAACGCTGATGCTAACACTGATGCTCATGATGCGATGTTGATAACGGTGCTGATGCTTATGATGATGGTGATGCTGATCATTTTGATGATGCTGATGATGATGCTGATGATGCAGGTGGTAATGGTGATGGTGATGCTGTTGATGATTCTGCTGGTGGCGATGCTGGTGGTAGTTTGCTGGTCATGGAGAGGCTGCTGATGACGATGATGATGATGATGATGATGAAGCTGATGCTGAGGCTGCTGCTGTTGACGATGGTGGTGACGATGATGAGAGCGCTGATGATAACGATGATGCTGCTGCTGATGCTGATGCTGATGATGCTGCTGGTGATGATGCTGCTGATGATGATGATCATGCTGCTGATGATGCTGGGGATGATACTGTTGATACTGATGCTCATGCTCATGTTCAGGCTCTTGCTGATGATACTGATGATTGTCATAATGATGATAATGCTGATGATGATGATGATGGTGTTGATGATGCTGATCATGATGGTGATACTGATGATGATGATGATGATGATGATGCTGATGCTGAGGCTGCTGCTGCTGATGATGGTGATGATGACAATGATGATGCTGCTGATGATGATCCTGATGATGAGGATTATGATGATGATGCTGATGAGGCTGATGCTGATGCTGCTGCTGATGGTGATGATGATGATGATGATGACGATGATGATGATGATGATGATGATGATGATGATGATGATGATGATGATGATGATGATGATGATGATGATGATGATGATGATGATGATTCTGAGAATGATGACCATGAGGAGGCAGATGAGGAGGAGGGGGATGAGGTGGAGGAGGAGGAGGAAGAAAACGAAGGACCAGGGAGGAGGGGGAAGGAGGAGAAACTGGCGGACAAGAAGATGGAGCAGGAGGAGGAGGAGGAGGGCGAGCAGAAAGGCCAGGGGCCTCTTGGGGCTTCTTGGGTGCTTCTTGTGGCCTCTAGGGCGTCTCCAGGTCTCTCGGGGCATCTTGGGGCCTCGTTCCAACCCCTGGTTGGACGCCTCCGCCATATCCAGGGGAAAGGGTCAGGGGGAGAGATAAGACCCTGCCCGAAGGGGAAGAGGGAAGATGCAGGAGGACTCGAGGGGCTTATGCCATTTCGCCGACCCCAGGAACCAGGCAGAGCGAGGTAGAGGATCAAGAGGACGACGACGACGGTGTGGGAAGATGAGGAGGAGGGGGAGAACGACGAGCACCCGCCAGCAGCAACGCACGCTGGCTCCAGGGACCGCCTGGGGGGAGAGGAGGATCGAGGAAGGAACTATGTTGCTTCTAGCGCGATTCCCGCCCGAGATCGCGAGGCGGGATCTTCCCTTGGTAGCACAGGCACGGCACGCTTTTGGCCTGGCGGCCGCGGCATGTAGTCGCCATGCGTCGAAGACCTGAGGCGGGATCCCCAGGCAGCACCGGCACATGTTGGCCTGGCGACGGCGGCATGCACGGTTTTTCCCCAGCTTGTCGGTCGGGGCGACACTTAGTTGGGATCACCCTCCCTGGCACGCGAGGCGACCCATGGGCTGCACAGCAAGAGGGGTCCAACGACGATCAAGAAATTCGCGCGGATCTCCAACAGTTTAGATTCATGATGTCTGCGCCGCTCCTGCAGAAGGTCGGGGGCGGAAAAGAGGGGCGTGATGACTAGGGGGAGTGGATATCATGGCGGGGGTCATGATATTTCCCCAGATCTTATGGCTGTGAATCGGTCGAAGCACTCTAAGTCTTCAATCGTGGTCGAATCGAAGTCCGAAACCTGCCAACTTCTCCTCGAGCACCCTCGTCCACAATCGCTCTGCGTGCAGGGAGGGTGATGATAGCGTTTCTGGTCAGTCGAGAGGCCTCTCGAGCTCAAACGGCAACAGTGCTTGCTCCTTTCTATCATGCCTGCTTTATACATGCTGCGACGCTGCTGGGGGGGGAGAGTGCTTGCTCTAACATATTAGTCAGAAACACCTCTGAAAACACATTGTACGGAGTGCAATTCACACTGGTAAGAAAGGGAATGAAAACGTGTAAAACTCTCACCTCAATTACATGAAACATACAGAACACCACAGCAGCTCGCAGATCATTATCGTCGGCTCGACCGCCCAAACTGGCGTCCGGACACCAACTCTGCCTTGCTCGAGAGAAACTGCGCCAAACAAAGTAGTCGCATACCTCTGCTGAAATAGCTTCATTGAGAGAATGGGGAAAGAAAAGGCACGAGACTGGAACAGGATGCAAATCAAGATTTGCCGGGGCACCGTCACTCATGGTGCGGCTTCTGCTGCACAATATGCAGCTCACGGGTAACCTCCCAGCCTCGCCGAAATCCATTCGTCACGTGTTTGTATTGTCCGTACTGTCCGTCGGGTCGCCCAACACTCGTGTAGTTGACTGGTCCCTGGCAACCAATGTCCCACTTGACCGTACTCAACTTCACCTTCTTCTCCTTCGGGATCTGTGTCGGTACAAACTCCTTCTCACTGCCTGGCTCTGGAGATGTCGGGACCGGCCGCGCCGTACCTGCAGCCTTGAGCACTGCGCAGCACACGAAGCCCAGCAGCACGATCGCCACCAGCATGCTGAAAAGTCCTTTAACGAACGTGCTGAGCGGCATGCTGATCACAATCCTCTGGCTCTCGGTCCACTTGAACTCCACCAGGGCCTGCTCCGCCTCGCTCTCGTAGATCTTCACCTCGCTGGCCGCCGCTGTCGTCATAGACGTCATAGTCGCCAGGGCCGTCATCGCGCTGGTCTTTGGCTTAGATATGGCGAACCTCTTGGCCTCTGCCTGGCGGTCCTTGGCGGTCTTCTTCTTGGCGGCCTGGAACTTCTCGTCGAACCTGAGGCTGATCGTTCCAGACCTAAGTCGGTCTGCCAACAACTGTCGCGCTGCCAGCTTGGTGAAGCCGTCTGCAAACTGGCGCTCCGAGCTGACCCAGTACCAGCCCGTTGCGCTCGCCGTCATGCGCTCCTTGAGCACCTGCACCTCGATGCCTGTCCGCTTGTCATCGAAGTTGTGCACGTGGGGCTTCTGGGCGGCGTCGTAGAGAGCCTTCGCGTCCACCACGAGCGCACTCTTGCCCAGCACCGTCATGGTGCCATTCAGCCTCGGATCCCGCGTGGGGTCGAGCATCAAGCTGTAGTGCACCTTCACGTACTCGAGCGCGTCCACGCCCCCAGCTGCAGCTTGGGCCTCGCTCGCCAGTGAGGATCTGCTCACCCTCGGTAGCTTCCACGAGCGCCAGTCGACGATCACGTACTTGACGGTCTCGCCGCTGAGCACGCGCCTGTGAGTAGCCAGGATGAGGTAGCCTCCTTGCGAGCTCCCATCTCGTCGAACTGCCCACGCTGCGTCCGTCATGCAAATGAACGTCACGTCGTCCGGGTCGTCACATATCTTGGGGAACACCTGGCACACGTCGCTGTTGGCTTTGGCAAACCGCAGCGTCTTGTTGGCCTCCACCAGGTCTTGCACGGTGGAGCCCTCGTTGATCGTACCTTGGCCCAGGCTGACACTGCACTGCAAGTGTGGCGCTGCCTGGTTGCTGGGCCACGCTAAGCTGCCCATCAATCCTCGTAGCTGTCGACGCTCGCCTTCAGTGATAGCCAACTTCAGGTCGCTCGCTCGGTTCTTGGTCACGGTGATCGGCTTGAGCGATTTGATGTAGGCTTCACAGCTCATCTGATAATCGCCTGTCGTCGTCTTTGAGAGCTGGTTCCCGCAGAAATCCATCGAGGCGTCACCTGCTACATTCAGCGTGCCCTTCTCGGTGTCCTCCCACGTCCTGAAGTTGAACACCTTCTTGAGCTCCTTCACGCGCGCTGAGAAGCATGCCTTGCCGTCCTGATTGCTGCCGCCACCGAGCATGTCGTCAACGTGTAGTCCGATCGCTCCGTCGAATACCTTCGAGTTGGTCGCGTCCAGGCGGTAGCTCAGGAACAGGCAAGGGTCCAGCGGGTGAACCACGAAACCACACGCAATCATGCGGTCTGTAGCTTCCTCCCACCAAAGCCTCGGCGCGTCGCTCAGGCCATACATACTCTTGAGCAGCTTCATCCGCGTACCCGGCTGGTAGCCGAGCATCCTGCACGCCTCCGCCGGTAGCAGCACGGATATTCCACGATCCGAGCGCTTGCCCTGCAGGAACGAGGTGCTGACATCCGCGGTGAACAGGATCCAGCCGTGAATGCGCGCAAACATCACGATGAAGGTTCTGCTCAGTCTCGTCATCGTCGGTGAGGATTTGGCCAGCTTCCCCGCAACAGCGTCTGGATCTCGAAACCCTTGGATAACTAGCCTTGCCTTGGCCCTGTAACTTCCGTCGGCGTTCTTCGACCACTTGAGCAGGAAACGTGCTCTCAGCACCTTGTTGGGGTCCTTCACCTCGTTCTTGTCCTGCTCCCAGACCTGGTTGTCAAAGAAGCTCTGCAGCTCCACACGCTTCGCCTCCGCGAACCTGGCCTTGTCCTCCGCGTTCATGTTCTTCTCGCTCAGCTCACCGGCCACGTAGCACTCCTCGTAGTCCAGGTAGAGTCCCTGCTCCTGCTCGCTGTAGCTCCAGCCCTTGGGCAGCGCATCCACATCCAGGAACATCACGTTCTCGGAGAACTCCACCTTGTCGTAGGGTCCCGACCGGTGTTCTTGTCGGTCGCGCTGAGCTGAGAACGTCCGCATCGGTGCCATCTCTGCGGCGTCCAGGTTCCTCCGCATCTCCCTGAACCTGGCTGCCGAGTCGGTCACTGTCGTCATCGGTGTGGGGGTGATGAGTCTCGAAGCACTACTGTCACCGTCAGCTTCTTGACCTTCTGACTCTGCCTGTGCCGGTGCTGCCGCTGGCTGCGGATGTAAATCGGGGTCTTCATCTTGATCAGGTATCGGCGTGTCGTGCGCCGTCGGTGGTGGGTCCTCACTGCTCGCCGGCCTTGGCTCGGCCTGCGGCTCGGAGCCCTGGGCAGAAACCTGCCTGAGCTGACCTGCCATGGCCTGCTCCACCGTCGGTACGCTTCCCGCCGTAGGCAACGGTTCGTCCTCCTCCATCGGCTCGTCCGCTCGGTCCTCCTCAGTGGGCCCGGGCAGCTGGCTGATATCGAAGAACTGCACGATACCTCCGCGTCGTAGTCCTTGTAGTGTGTCCTGTGCCGCCTGTAGGTTTGCTGGTCGCTTAGGCTCGCCGATCCGCTCCACGATGGGTCGGATCTGGTCCGGGCTGCACCTCAGTAAGCTACCGCCGTGCGTGACCCAGTAGACCTTGGGCTGGCCGTTCTCCGCATCCTCTCGTAGAGCCACGGTAGCCGGCCCTCTCCAGCGTGACTTCTGAAGCCGACTCGCTCCACGGTCGCGCCAGTAGTAGCACTCGTCGCCCACGCTCACCGCCTCGTGGGTGTCACGCCTCTTGCGCAGGAAGGCCCTGCGCAAACGCTCCGTCGAGTCCGCCTTGATGAAAGCCATCGCCGCTGCCGTCCGCCTCTGCATCGCCTCTTGGAACGTCTCCTCCTCCAGGTAGGCTTCCGACGCTGGCACGGACAGCGTGTCCGCGGACAGGGAGTCGTTGAGCTCAGGGTTGTAGCCCAAAACCCACTGCGCTGGACTGAAGCCCTTGTGATGCATCATCCTGTTGATCTGGTTGGGTACGTAGTCCAGCGCCGACTTCAGGTTCTCGATGGTGCGTTCTGGGCCGGTCTCCTCGAACCAACGCTCCAGCGTCTCACGCGTCACTTGATGAGCTCGCTCAACTGGTCCCAGGACGTGGTGAGCCTCGCCAGGGGCAATCCGCATCCTGATGTTCTGGTTGCTAGCCCAGTCGAGCATCTCCTGACTGCACGCCGCGCCGCACTCGTCCATCACGAGCCTCGTCGGAGTCCCGTAGTGCTTGATCCACGCCTTCTCGATGGACTTGATGGCCTCGGCCGAGGTCTCTCGCGCCACGATGCGGCACTTCTGGAAACGACTAGTTCCGTCCAGCATGTGCGCGATCTTCGCCGAGCCCGAGCGCAGCCTGAACTCGAAAAAGTCCAAGTAGACTGCCTGGTTGAACGTCTTCCAGGATGGTGGTGCTGACTTCGGTGGTTGGGAGGCCTTCTTCCGCTCTGCGCAGATCGCGCATAGGTACTTCCTCGCACACGCTATGACTTCCTCTCTCGCCTCCGCCGCCGTCAGCATCCGCACGAAAACCTCCGTGCTGGGGTGGTCCAGGTTCTTGTGGAGGCGCTCCACATACCTGACCACGTTCTGGCCGAACTCGCTCCTCAGCAGCCTGTTCTGGTACATCTCCTTCGGGTCGTTGCTGCTGCTGTCCACTGTCGTGTGGTAGATATGCCCCAGCGCGTCCTCGCCTGCCTCCAGACCCAGCACTAGGATATCCGAGTCCTGAGGGGGGGGGCTGCTCCAGCAGATCGCTGAGGATCTTGGCCAGCAGGGTCCCGTAGTTCTCGGCGAAGCTCGTGCGGTGTAGGTTGGTACCTGGAATCTTGCCCTCCAGGTGGACATGCTCGTGCTGCTTGTCGCACTGGTACTCGAATAGTCCTTCTGCCAGTCCTCGTCGTGTTGCGCGAACTCCAGTCCTCTTGCGAGCCAAGCCCTCTCCTGGAATCTCCAATCCTGTCATACACTGGTCGAAAAGCATATGGTGTCCAGGCAACTCGTATAGCGCCTTCGTCTTCCAGCTTCGTGCCGTAGAGGGTTGCTCCAAGTGTGCGTCTCGTCCAGCCTTCCACTGCTTGAGGTAGATCTTACTGCAGAACATCAGGTGCGTCTGATGGTTGTCCGAGCGCCGCTGCTGCAGCTTCTGCTTGTCCTCGTCCGTCTTGCAACCTCGCTCCTGCATCAGCGCCCAGAGCTTGCACTCGGGACACATCCAGATGTCGTCCGGCTGCTCCTCGTCGACCAGGTCGAGAAATTTCTTCTGCGTAGCGATCTTACTGAAATCCCAGCCGTTGTGCATCCCGAGCGTCCTTGCCTGATGTCCGCGTGTCTTCAACTCCTTTGTCAACTCCGAAGTGCCACCGTAGACCTCCCATATCTTGCGCTTGGCCTTCTGGATGTCCTTCGCCTTGCTCAGGTCCTGCTTCAACTCCTTGACGGCCGTGTCTACGGACTCCTGGCACTTGCGCAACTGCTTCAGGTTGAGGTCTTTGGTGATGTAGCTGTTGTCCTCTGCCGCGTCGACCTTGTTGTCTATCTCGACCATCGTGCCGATGAAGTCCACGGACTCCTCGTACGCCAGCACCTCGTCTCCAAGAAACGTGTAGGGGCTGATCGGATGCTGCACGCGCACGTGGTCCAACATGTTGTGAGGCAGTAGGGTCTGGTCGGCGCGATCCTTCATGCATGTACTGAAACTCTCCAGCATGTCGATGATGAAGTGGCCGCGACTGGGCTGCTGGCGTAGCTGAAACCACTTGCCATCACCGTCCCAGCATGCCCTCTTATTCTTGAAATCCACGACCATCCCGAGCTCCTCCATCACTGGCCTGGCAAACAGAAATGGCGTGTGGCCAGGAATCACATACGTGAGAATCTCCACAAACTTGCCTCCAGGGAAAGACGGGACAACTGCACACGCCGTCGCCTCACCGGTCGAGTCGTTGCCGTACCTGAAGTTCTTGGAACACGGGAAAAACTTCATCTTGTTGACTGGAAATCCTTTGGCGGCCAGCTGCTTGCAATATCCTCTGAGCGTCTCGTGTCCCACAATAACGCTGGTCGCCCCACTATCGTGTATTGCCTCCGACGGGTTGAGCTCGGTCGAGTTGTACACGTCCTCCGCCTCGTCCGTGACCATCCGCGCCTCTGCGGAATCGTCGCCGACGTTCTGCCTCTTCCTGCTCGCGTGGGGGCAGTCCTTGGCGAAATGACCTCGAGCACCGCATCGTAGGCATATCGTCTCTTCTGTCGCTCTCGGTGGTGGGTGAGGTGGTCCACGGCCTGCTGCGCCCTTTCCGTAGCTGCCTGCAAAGTGGTTCTTGCCACGTCCCTTCGAAGCCGTCGCACCTCTCCCTGTAGCCCGGCCTCGGGACGCGCCTCGCGCCGCA